AGTGCTACTGATAGTATACAAAGTGCTAATTGGAATGGATGAATTTTGTGCTGTTTACTTATATCAACAATAAATTAAAATTTATAAATTTCATTAAATGCACCGAATTCAGTAAATTACAATTTGATACACAATAACGAGTTATCAGATTAATGAATCAGTGTACTTCGAATAAACTCAATAAATAACTTTATCAAGATGAATTAAGAATCCAGCCGTAACAATTGACTCAATGAGCGAATCTTTTAATGCCCAATGACATAGTTATAAATCACAGTGACTAAATTTCACAGACAATAAGATATAAAATATATCAGTTTCAAATAAAATTTAAATTTAAAAAAATCGCAATAAAATTTTTTCTTGTGGAATGCTTAGTCCATTCGTATTCTGATGGAAATTAGTTTCATTTATTTCTATTTTAGCCTTGTAGAATTTTCTGCTGTTTGTAATTACTAATTATTTTCTCCTCTGTGTTTCCCTTTAATCAAGAACATACTGACGAAAATTATTCAAATTTTGTGTTCTACATTATCGAATTCTTACCAATTTGTAAATTTGTGTACCAAAAATTTGTATTTAACAAGTGATTCATTGAACTGAATTAAAATGAAAGATTTTGACTTTGAATTTGCAAATTTTATGCATCAGCGTTTGTTACGAGTATTTCGCCATTTTCTGAAATTCTTCTTTGCTAATGAAGTACCACGTACATAACTCTTTTTCATTTTTAAACGTCGATAATTTTGATTTTTTTCTCTTAATTTCCTCTTTAAACATTCCTTTTCATCAACAAATGGCTGTTGCTCTTCTTCAGCACCTATGTTAATCAATTCTTGCGAATTTTGTTCCGGATTTTTCTTATTCTCATCTTCATTGATTGCTTCATATGAACTATTTAAGCTGACACTTTCCTGAAAAGAATGACAAATAAGAATCTACATTTTCGCGAATCCATAAAACCAGAATTTGCAACCATAACAATAAGTAGTAAGAGTTTGTTTCAAGAAGTTATTTATTTCAAAGTTTGCTTAATGAAATAAAAATTACCTTTTCATTTTCAATATCACTTACTGAACCTAGTAAACTGCTCAAGCGACGACAAATGATTGGTTGTGATAATAGTAAAGGTTTTTGTGGCGATAGTAGGACTTCATTGTATGATGAAGGATGTTTTCGTGGAGAACGACGTAATATCTGCTCATCGGTTTGTACTATGTGTTGAAGAAACAAACATTATAAAATGATAAAATGCATTTTTTTTTTACAATTTCTATTAACATTCAGTGCTTTAGAAAAAGTTAGAAAAAAAAAAAAAAAAAACTAAAATTTAAAGAGAAATGTGACAGACAAAATACTGTTGTAAAGAATTTACTTACATCGCTATTAACGATTTGTACTGCCAGATGTATTATAAAGATGCAAAGTTATATTTTGCATTTCAATAGAATAAGATGAATCATATTTTAGGACGCAGAAAAGCGCTTTTTGCTTTGCATTTACAATGAAAGATAAAATGTGTCGAATAAATTCCGCGTTTTTTAAAGGTTAAAAAAGTAAATCACACAAAAGCTAAGCGAACTAACAAATAATAAAAAGAAGTAAACATACATTGAGTGACATGTGCAGGAGGTTCACTTTCTGGTACTACAAAATTCGGAGACAACTGAAAAAATTTTTTGCCTTTACATTTATTAATAGAAGAATTTTATTTGACAAAAATGATATCCTAATTTTATTTATAAGAAAAAAAAGTACCCTATCGATATTTTGAAAAGTTTCTGGTTCCAGTAAATTTGTTAAACTTCGACGTGCCACTGGTTTGGAAGGTGAATTAATTTTTTTGGATGCTGTTGGACGAACCAGTGATGAAGGGTGTTTCCGAGGTGACCGTCTTAATAACGCCGAATCTTCTGAAAAACAAATATATTAAGTACAAATTACGGTTGTTGGAAATCTCATTTTATCAAATCATCAGTAATGCAACCATGATTTTCTCAAAATCAAACTACTTATCTATTGAATTATTCATTATAGCCTATAAAGATTTTACAATTATAACTAACTCTCAGATTATTACTTATTCTAAGCTCAAGCATCTTTCAATAATGTATCAATTGATCATTTGAGTTTTCATTTCCAAAAATCTCAGATGTTCCAAATTAATCTATCTCATTTCGTCAAATTTAAGATAACTTACTGGTTTGATGTATCGTTTCGCTCCTTGAGGTAATAATCACATCAGCGCGGTGTTTCTTTAACACTGGCTGCAATTCTTCTTTAAATATGAAGAATTCAAATGTAATAAAAGACTAATAATTTAAGTTACATGATTTTCAGAAAGACAAATAACAAAAGAGATCTTATGCGTCAACAAAAATTTTTTTATAACATCAAATTCAAAAAAAAAAAAAATGGAATAAAATTTAGTATTTAATCAAAACGACGAACTAAGTGTCAGCAATAATTGTTTCAAAATAATTTCGCAATTCCATCAATCTCACTTTTCTCCTCTTCCTTCCCACATAATTCCGAATTTCTTTTTCAGAAATCAGAAATATGTTCAAGTCATTCGGTAATGTAATCTAATATCTGCTATTTTACGTTCAATATTCCCAATTAACATGTGACTTCAACATTTCTTGTAATCTTGTAAAAAGTATCGCAAATCAAAACCAAACCTAATTTGCTTTTTGATATGGATTGGTCTTTTAGCTTGACTGTTCAAGAAAAAAAAAACCTCAACTATTCATATGGCAGAATATCAAAGATATCGTGATACAGCTAATAAGGCCAGTTAATTTACGTTCTGGGTAAGCGATCATATTTAATGTCGAATGTATATGACTCTAAGTGGATTAGATACTTTACAGGACAATGGGAATAATTCTGACTGTTAAGTTGATAACGAACTAGAACTAAATCATATAAATAGAAGGAAAAATTTTTGAACAAATTTGAATTGAAAATTTGAAATCTATTTGTATAAGCATGGCAGTAAAACAAATTATAATACTTCAGGAAGACAATCCCTTTCATCGAATGACCTTTTGAGTTTTACTTTTGGAGTCGGTTTCGAAACTACTTTTTTTGGCGGATGCAACTTCAAATATTCCTCTAAAAAAACCAAAACATCAAATATTTTTTAAAAAAAATGCAAATAAAAATCACTCAAAATTCTTGCTCGAATGTCCTCAGTATTTCATCCAAAAACAAAATATTAAAATCTTTTCTTCTCTCATTAACCACTGACATTTAAAACGAAACGATCAACTATTCGCAAAATTTTTAATATTACGAGTTTTTGCACTGAAATTTTAAAGTTATAAAAAAAAAAGAGAAAGATCTATATCTATGATTAACATGAAAATATCACTTAGAAGGGAAATTTTTGAAAATAAAAAAAGGATAAAATGATATTTTATAAGTGGAAAAATTACCTTTAATATGTGATGGTGCAATCAATTCGATATCTTCTTTGGTTGGTGAGTTTTTATTGAGCTGTTTGAAAATTTGCAACCAACGTTGATAACGCTCGCTCATTCTCGAAAAACTTTCCTTCTACAAATATTAACTAAATTTGACATTTTTTTTTTTTTTTGAAGGCACACATTATTTTATTCCAAGCAAATTTTAATAAATTGCTAAAATAATACTTTCATACTTTTGATTAATAAATAAATGAGTAAACTGGAAAAATTCACAAGCCTGTTTAGTCATCTAATTAATTATTTGCTTAGCTAAATTAATTTACTCCTTCATTAAATAAATATACTTTGGATTATATTCTCAGATTCATCACATAGTTCTAACTTATTCCTAAACATAAAATTTTCAACATAACTGCAATTTATTAATGCTGAAAACAAAACTTTTAACACAACCCTAACTTATTCCTAAAACTAAAAGTAAGAAAAACAAAGAGTAACAAACGATACTGTTATGCCACAATATTCTCTAAAAATATTTCAAAATCTTATTGTAATTTTCATAATAGGTATAATATTAAAATTTTTTTGGAATTAAAATTAAATCAAATTTAGAAAGCTTATTAAATTTCTATTAAAACTATTTAGAACAAAATTTTAATTACTGAAATAATGAAGTTCGCAATCAATTAAAACTTTCAATAATAATAACAAACTTTAATTCATATACACTTTTATACCATTTACTTTTAATTTTTTTTTTTTTTTTTGCTATGGTTTTGTTTGTTTTATGGTCAATGAGAATTTTATAAGCCTAAAAAAAATATGAATGCGTGAAAATGACTGGAAAATAATAAATAAGGCAAAATGCATTTTGAATCAATCAAACAATAAATCAGTAAATGAATCAAAAATATTCAATCATAATTCTTCCACAAATATACACCAATTTTATAACGAAATGAGGAAAAAAAAAAACGAGAAAAAACAAAAAAAGAAGAGGAAAAATAAGAAAACAACAAAATTAATAATTTTTTAAATTTAGCGCTTAAATTTTTTTATGAAAATTTCCTTCCCGTTGTGTAAAATACTTGCAAATAATTTCATAGCATGCAAATAAAATGCAACTTCTTTCTTCTCTTTCTCTTTTTCCTTTTCTTTTTCTTTCTTTCCTTTATAAAAGTATTTGATAAAAAAGGAAAAAAAATAAAAATAAAAGATTTCTTTTTAAAAATTTCTTAAATTCTCAAAAATTTATATTTATGTATTAAATTTTAAATTAAAAAAAAAAAATGAAAAGTGATAGAAATTTGTTTGTTCTGCTTATAATTATGTATTTTGTTAATATTATATTATAAATAGTGTAATAAGAAATTATTGAATGAACGAAAGATTATTATTCTATATCATTGTTTATCTTTTTTCTTATGCTAGAAATAAATGACGTTTAGAAATTAACAAATGTAGTAATTTAAAATTAATTATACAAATTGTAAATTTTATTTATTTTTAGACAATAGATATTTTATTAATATGGATGCAAGAGAGGAATAAGGTGGTGAGATTGCTGTGATGGCATCATTTTCTGCTGATAATCGTGATATTATTTGTTATTTGGTGACAAAACATTCATGGAAAGGAAAGTTAGTTAAATGTTTTTATAAATTTTTCGCTTTCCGAAGAAATCATAACATTAAGTTTTTATGATGTCATTTATATCATTAATCTTATGTTTCTCCGTTTTTTTTTTAAAAATACTTGTTGAAAGTTTCGGTAAATATAGAAAGTATCAGATATGTGATTTAAAATATACTTAATTTTCATGCAATATTTTCATTCATATTTTTACCCATATTTTCATATTATTTACAGATACAAAAGAATATTTTCAATTGGTACGTTAGCCATTACAACTTATAATCCATCTACACTTGAAATAACAAATCAGGTTGATAATTTTCCCTCTTTTTTTTAATGATTCTAAACGATTTAAATTTTCGTGTATGGTGGTAGTATTAAAATTAAATAAGCTGAAATAATATACGATTATAAGCAGTAATAATTCAGATATTCTCAGTAAAGTTTTACTGTTTATGCATTAACTATTTAGTTAATAAATTTGTTTCATTCGTCCATGACGTGACGTAGATTCCTTTCTAGCAGATAAATTAATATTTCTTTTTCTATTTTGATTTTCAGTGGTTATATGAAGATTTCGTAACAATTAAACCAATATCACGTCCATTGCAAGGTCAGGATGAATTTGTCATCCAGATTCGTTCCAAACGAAAAAATGACACGATGCGATTCTCATCAGAATATACACAAGAAATTTTATCAGAAGCTCTTATGCATATGCCTAAATTTTCTGATGCTGAACCTGAGACACAGGTAAAACTAACGACCATAAGCTTATGTTTTTGAATTAGTCGGATTTGATTTTGATTTAATTTTAATCTTTTATGTTTTAATTGATTAAATGAGAAATCATTTGTGTCTATTTCCTGCTTCAGACTTATGTGAAATTCAAACAGTTATTTTGAAAATAGTTTTAGAATTTTGCCTGCTACAAACATGATTGGTCTGATCGCCGTATACCGATTCTACTTCGAACAAAAAGTTATGCATTGGAAAGGCTAAATAATAACGGTGAAGTGATTGCATCATACGCATATCAGCGCATGAAATCTATCACTATAGTGAGTAGCTGTAAGATTTCTGAAATTCAAAGTTTCATTTTTTCTTGCCGAAAAAATTCAAACAGTACATGTAAGCTTTATTCGTATCTGTGTTTGTTTTATATCTGTTTGTTATCAGAAATGTTTATGAAAGTATAATCAGAAATTCTTCGGATATCGAGAAAATATTTTAATTACTTTTTTAGATGCAAGGATATCAGAATGGATTTGTTGTAGAAATGGATGAACATCGTCGTCGAGTTTGTTTTTTTTTTTTTTATTTATTCTATATAAAGTTACAGTTTTTCTTCTCATTTCAACGTATGATTTTTCATGTTATTAATTCAAATCTGACTTGTATATCATTTCTATTTTCGTCTCCAAAATAAAAAAGAAAGAAATTGCGAATAATTTTTAAAGAGAATTGTATTGTATTGTCAACATAGAAAATCACATTTCCTTGTTGTAATGAAATGCTAAATTATAAGGTATAAGACAGTACTTAGTATCTCAGATTACCAAATTTTCCCATGTATAGTCATTGCAAAGATCGCTGATGGAACAATGAAAATTCATTTGATTTTTTTTTTTTTTCACTTTTATAGCATTTATTTGTATGCGAATTGTTAGATGATCTAATCTCTGTGATACGGCAAATGGCTGCAACCTATTTGGGAATTTCAATACCGATCGCAAAAGAGGGATTAACTTTGGAGCAGTTTATGCTAACACGTTTGGGTTTGTGTAGGTTAGTTTTATCTAGTCAGTGCAGTTTTTACTTATTATTTTTATTAATAAATGGCCTTAATTAGAACATTAATTTATTATATGATAATTTGATTTCTATTCATCTTTTTTTTTTTTTCATCTACCTATTCATCTTTGTCCTGTCCTCAAAATGCTTCTCTGTATTGCTTCACTTCTAAAAATCTTGCGGAAAACAAAAAGACAAAAAGGCAATTTATTAGATTTCATTGGAATAGTAACATTAGAGTAATGCTTAAGCAATCATTTTTCAATTTTTATTTTTGAGTTTTACAATTTATTTAATGATTTTAGACATTAATGATGTATAAGTCACTTACTTTTTAGTCGTGATGAACAGCTAACTTCATATGTGGAGTTCAAAGTTCAAAAGATTGCACCGCGACAATCTCCTTCAGTGAAACGATTGCTATGTTTGAGTAGTACATGTATTATTGAACGGGATCCATCAACTTATGCAGCGATTTGTGCGCGGCCATTGAAAACGGTTCGTTTAGTTATCTTAAATTGAAATCGCTGTTTTAATTTGAGTTGTTTGAAAAATGAATAAAGTTAATTAAAATAGGCATCGAAAAGTTCTTTTTTTTTTTTAAATAATTGATTTCATTATTCGTTATTATTCTATCATTTTTTCCGCAAGCAAGATTCATTAATTTTAAGCCTCTTATGTATTCAATTTCATTAATGTTTCAGTTTTTTTTTATCTTGATACTTTTGTTTATACTCAATTTATGCTTTCGAAATTTTTGGATAAGTAAATATATAATAATTTGCATAAGTGAATAATATATAATGATTTGGACAAGTAAAGATATAATGATTTGAATAAGTAAATATATAATGATTTGCTGTACCAGTGAATCGTGAAATATGAGTTATGTAATTCTTTTTTGAGCTTCTGTGACTTTTATCATTCCATGCAATCTCTCTTCCACTGACATCTGTTCTTCTATATCAGATTTAGCCTATAGAAGGAAATCTTGAAAATGGCGACGCAAATCGGAAGGTTTATCACTTCCTGTATTCCACAGTTATTCCACAACTTTGACTTAAGTTCAGATAATTTGAATCTACTGAGCTTGCCAACTGATCAAAATGCCATATTTTTAGCTTTGCGTCAGTTATTCCTACATATTTCACGTCTTTTTTTTCTAAAGATATTATTGAATGATCTTTGATAGTGTTAAATTGTTCCAAAAAGCTATCTAAATTGATGAAGCGAAACCTGCCAGCTTTTTGTTGTATAATTTTCATCCTTCTATTCAAAACCGTCTTTGTTCTTGTAAAGTTGATTGTTTAATGAAAAAAAAAAAAATTTGTTTCGAACACAAAGATACATTGTTATGTCCTAATAATAATTGGACCATTCTTTCGTAGAAGTCATTCGATAAAATGATTTTTCTACGTTTTTTTTTTTTTTTTTTTTTCATCTAATTGTTAAATTAGATGGATTGCTGGAACTTCGTATTTTATGGATGTTAACAAGAACTTCGTAATTCCAAATTCAGCACATTTTATTAAATGACAAATAATATCGTTGATGGAATTCATCCTTAGTCAAATATGTTATTTCATTAAATTATAAAATTAAATTTAAAATCTATTCATTTTTTACTTTTAGATTGTTTTTGTGATTCGTGATGAAACAGATCCGCAAAGCTTTACTATTCAATATGATGAAGGTGACATCCGGTCATATACTTCTCCAGAACGGTACAGTCTTTCTCGTTTTAAATATCTACTTCAAGTTTTCATATTTTTAGATTTCATAAATATAAAATTTGAACATATGTTATTTGGTTCCTTCAATGAATGTCATTGTCACTTAGCTTCCAGACAGTAAATTCAAATTTTCAGTTTTATTGAAATTTTTCCAGGGATTTAATTCTCACATCACTCATTGATGGATCACGGGCTTCTGGAAATCAGTATATATTTATTACTTGTAGCAAATATGATCGTGCTTTACGAATTATACCATATAAATTTTTATTGGATGAAGATACGGAATCACAATGCATGAGACATGTTATTTCAGTACCACGTCTGTGTTTTTCTTTTCTTTTCAGTTTTCAATAAATTGGAATATTTTTTGTTTTACTTTTTTACATGCTTGTTGAGAAGAGAAGAACTGAAAAGAAGATATAATTCTTAGAGCTTAATTCTTTTAAAATTTTGAAATAAATTAGTTGTTATTATTTTTTTAATCTCACAAAATTATGAGTGGGCATTTGATAAAATTAATAACTATTAATGAAATTTAGCATTTTAGATTTCGAAGTTTTGAGAGAATGATTCATTTGTTTTCATCATTTTAGCTGGTCTGAAAAGATATGATTTGATTCGTCGTTTCAATGCCAATGTACCATATGGTGGACTTACCTATACGGTCTCACAGGAGGTTTATTTCTTTTAAGTTATTATTGAAATATCTGCAGTAAGCATTTTTTGTTCCCTTCATTAATTATGTTATATGTTTTACAGGGTTTTTTTACCGAAAATAAAGCGAAAACAATTGTTGCTTGCTTAGAATCGGTATTAATGGAAAATTTTGGTAATGAAATTAGTAAATGCGAAGCGCAGTTACAATGCTTACATCGCTTATTTGCATCGAAGAGTGGATTTCAAGCGTTTACAGCAGTGCCGGGGTAAATGATTGTAGTTAATTATTTCTCTATGTAAATTACCTTCCTGATTCGGATGAATTCCTCTTTAAAAGCAACTTTCAGACATTTGACATATGAATATTCTTTCATGTCGAACTTGCACTTCACTGATAGAAACCAACATTTAACCAACTTTTTTTTTTCTTGAGACAAGAGCAAAGGAGAGTTGGTTTTAAAGTTAAATTTAAAGTTCAAATTGAATTTAACCTATGCAATGAATTCTGAGGAGTGAATTTTGATCAAGAAATTACTATGTTAAGTTAGATCTAAAATTTTCGGATTGAAAACTGTTCAGAATATATTATTCGCGGAGAATCCTTAAAAGAACTTATTAATTACTACTCGAAACAGGTTCCAGTGTAAGTTTTGCATTCGTTATTTTGGTAATTATTTTTGATACCTCAGCTATAGTTTTCAATTTTTTGCAGAGTTCGTGAGAAATTGGGTGATTTGGTAGTTCGTATGCTAAATATATCTAACGAATGCATCGATTATGCAACCGTTGAGATGCTTTGTTCATTAATGCAGCCGATGCATTCAAATTACGAATTGAAATTAGAGCAACTTAATAAGCAATCCTTGCTTGCAAATTCACAATTCGTGGAGCATTTATTGGATTTAGTTGTTAAACATACGGTAAAACTACAAAAGTTTCTACAAATTCTGATTTTTTTTTTAGTCTTTGATAAATTTTTCGAATTGCATATATTGCAATAACTAGACATGTACTTAGATCTTTCAATGACTTTTGATTATGATCTGAATCTCATTTCACTACTTGTTTAATGTTCATTTTCTTAAGTTAGTATGCATTTTATTATCAACATAAGTAATGTCTATAACATTTTATCTGCAATTTATTGAATGGAAAAAATGAATAACTCATCAGTAACTTGATAAATGAATAGCTGAAACTGAAAAGTTGAGTTTGTTATATTTTGAAAAATTGTAAATGTATAGTAAACAATCACTGAACTAAATGAGTGAATAATTTTCATAATTTCATTAAAAAAAATTGATAACTTTGAAACTAAAATATTTCTGTATTCAGCTTATAATATTTTACTAAATTCTATGCGCAGTAATTTTTAAGAATATTTTTAACTTCAGATTGAGTTAATTTTTAGAATTTAAGATTAAAACATGTTAAATGATTGTATTTTCATGGAATTTTCAATAGCTTTAGGAGCAAAAAACTGGTGCTCTTGTTATTGCTAGCATGCTTGATTTCCTAACATATGCTTTATGCGCTCCATATAGTGAGACAACATTGGGTGCTATATTTGATTTACTGCTAGAAATGGTTGCTGAACGTGGCTCAAGCTTTTATCGGCTTTTTCAATATCCGTCGATGACAATTGTTAAAGGTTAGTTTGATAAAAATAGTACTCAAAGAAAATCATTTGTAATTAATTGAAGAATTTGATACAAATATATTTGTTTTTAAAATACTTCAATTTTTTTTTTTTTTTTGTAAGTTTATGAATTTTTAATTGTTTTACTTATTTCTTTTACTGTCAGCTTTAATTTATATCATACTACTATGATAAATAAATTTATTTCACATAGTTTATAATCATAGAATCTAACTTTTTTATTTTTCCAGGAGCAGGTATGATAATGCGTGCAATTATTGAAGAATCAACAGTAGAAATTTCAAAAAGAATGCAAATGTTATCGTTAACAGAAGGAGCATTTTTGGTGCATCTTCATATGGCTTTACTCAGTGTTGGTCGCGATCTTCGAGTCCTTGCAAATAAACAACTTAGTGGACACTTACTTTCATTGTGGATTGCTGATAATAATGCTGCCACTGATTTATTGTCAAGATGTTTGGTAAAATTTTCTATTCTAGAATGAAATTATTATTAGTTCGAATGATATAGTTATTGTAATATAAAGTAAATCAAAGTAAAATTTGAAATTATTTACAATATTTTAATAATGTGGTTATACACCATATGTTCTTAGCCTCGTGGATTATTGGATTATATGGATTCACTTGAAAAGCCAAAAATTGTGGAAGTAGATTATTTGTTGACACGAAACAATTTGCAAATGGCTAATGAAGAATCAAAGCAAAATCATCTTTTGGTAAGTATAATTGTTAATTTAATTTCAAAAATGAATAATAATAATAATAATAATGTTGTCATTTATTTCACTGAATTTCCCAGTATTTTTTTTTTCGAATAAATTATGATATTTCTTTCTTCAGGAACAAGTACAACAAGTGCAACTACAATTAGAAGCGAAACTTGATCGATTGTTACAGCATTGGAATTTGGAGCATAAATTCCTACAAAAGAAAGATGTTAGAATTTGTTTCCTTAAGCTAACTTTTTAATATCGAATTTAGATACTAAGGTTAATTGCACAATTCATTATGTATGATTAACACTCCGAAATATGAGAATCTTTTCTTGCTTTAATCAGCAAAGTTGCTAATATTTAAAAAAGCTAATATTTAAAAAATAAAAATTAAATGTTATCCAAGGAAGTGGTAATCTGGGACATCAAAATTAATTTGTCTTTATATTAATGTAATTATGCAATGATGTATTATCATAATGAATAAATAATTCACGCTAGGTTTATAAAAGTAATTTAATATTTTGTTTGTACTAATGTTAAATTAAATTTTAAGTTTTTAATTGGCAGTAATTTTTGCAGGATAAGATGCAGAAACCAGTTATATTACGCAAGAGACGACAACGAGTGAAAAGTGGGGTGAATTGGAAGCTGTTTTGTTTTCAGTTTACTAAAGATCATTGTAAAGTAAGTGTTTCTTGTTATTTATTTCTGTTGACTTTTAGAACTCGAAAGAATCCGATCGGATTTTGCTTTTCTTTTTACTCCATGTTATTGTTGATAACATTGTTGATGTGAAATTTTTTAAGCACAAAATTTCGTACAGACCTTTTCTTTTTATTTCTTTTACAGTAGATGATTAAGAAATTACAATTTTAACAGTACGTGAAATATAGTTTCATGTTTAATCTGATATCACGATCTATTTCACTTATAATTTTTAAATATAGATATAATTATTTTTAAATACATTTATTAAAGGCTAATTTGATATGGAATGAGACGACACGAGAAGAATTTCGTCGTTCAATTGAAGATGAAATGAGAATTTTGGAACAAGAAAAAGAGCTTGTATCTACAAATGTTCCAATCTCATGGAATCATACCGAATTTCAGGTACCCACACAGAATTTTGATTCCATTTTTTTTTTTTTGACGACTCTTTTTCATTTCCGTTTTCGCATAAAATATGGTATCTGATTACTCATGTATCTTGTTTTTGGTTATATGTAAATTTATGAGTATTTAGGTTCGATATCCATCTTTGGCTGATGAAGTGAAAATTGGTGATTATTATTTGCGTATTTTACTTCAAGAGAGTGATGCCACTGCTACACCGATACATAATCCGTTGGTTTCAAATATCATTAGATCTAGTAATTACATCATAGTTGTATGGTAACATCACTACGAATTTTTCTGTTATACAATAAATAGGCAACGGACTTTATGTGATCGAACTTATATGTGATCTTTTTACAGTCACAGATTTAAATTTCAAATTGATTTTATTTTTAGAGGAGACTTTTTCAACAGTGTTTATCACCGATTTTTGCTTTCGGCAAAAAGTGAAATGCGTTGCCTTTGCTTGAAAGCAATGGCTATAACATACGGACGTCATCATATTACCATTGGACCATTTATGGATTCCAAGTATATTGTTAATATGTTATCAAAATGCTCCAATCCGACTGAAAGAGATCATCTGGTATGTGAATTTTTGTCGTAATATTTAATCTATTACTTCAGTTCGACGAAAATTCATTACCATAAAAAATTTATAACTCTGTTAACTTTGCATAGGTTATCCAATGAAATATCAGTCCTTTATTTTTTATTTTTGTGTTTCTTCATAGAATGTTGAGAGACTTTTCTGCAGTAATGCATTCCCATCTCTGAAAGTAAACTAAGTAAGCTGATAAGATGGGTTCGTTATTTGCTACAATTTCAAAAATTTTTTTATTCATTTTTAAAATTATCTTTGTGCATTATTTATAGGTATTCTTAATCAGTAAATTAGTACAAAACAAAGATAACGTTCGTGAATTGCTATGTGCTGGTGTATTGCCATTACTTACTGACATGGCTGTTCTTGCTCATCTTCATGTAAGCCGGGCGAAAATTCACAATCAGGTTTGTTTCCTTCTAATCATACAGTTTACTTTTGTGATATCATCAAAATTTTATAGTCGCTTCAATGTCTTTTTCGGTTTTTCCAGGAAAAGCAATGGTAAAGTAAGAAGAAATTTCGATTTTGTGTTTCAATTTGCAAAATTTTTCTATTATTTCTAAATCTGCAGTGTGTTTTCTGTTCATCACAGGCAATATCTTATTTGAATTTGAATGATGGATGATAGCCAAATGAGAAAATTTATTTGAATTGTGAATGTTCACAATTATTTTATAGGTTCAAACAAATGTAATCGAAGCTGATATTTCGACGAAAAATGATGGCACCGCAGAATGGTACTACAATGATAAAGGTGGTAAACGACAGGGACCAATAACTTTTAATGAGGTATCTGTTTTATTTGACAAATTTTCGTAAAATCTGAACCTGCATAATTTATCAGTTAGTGTTATGATTTTTCTAATTTCCTTATCGTATTCATCGAATTCGAAAGTAACGATATTTTTTGTAGGAATAATTTGACTTCTAAGAATATCTATGGGCCATTGAATGTACAATTTTTCTAGTTTTAATTTTTAATTTTATATTTTCAGATGAAAAAACTTTACGAACAGAAAGTGATTTTCGAGCGAACCCAAATATGGGCACAAGGATTAGATCAGTGGACAACTCTTTCAGCAGTTTCACAATTTCGTTGGACTGTTTGCTGTTCATTGGGGACTAATTCATTGTACAACTTTACCGAACTTTGTACACTTATTCTGGATATTTTCATCCAGATGTGTATGTTTTTTCCATCACGGTATGTAAATTTTATAATGAATGGGTTTTTTTTTTTTTTTTTTCAGAAATAACATACCGATTTTAACTTTTACAATTTATGTTTTTATATCGATTACAAAATGGAGGATTTAGGTTTTTCCAGCTTTCTTCATGGAATTTTAATCCTATTTTTTAATGATTTCTTAATGAAATCAAAAAAAACTTGAATCGGCTCTAATTTTAAACAACATAAAGTTGTGAATACATAACTTCAATTTCAAAAATATAATCAGGCTTTGCATTTTCAGATTTTTTTTTTTTCCTAGTCAGATATAAATAAGCAATTGATTCTCTTTTATTTCAGAGATGAAAATGAATATATAGTGAGACCATTACCGCATGTTAAACGAAATTTGTCCGAACCAGTATTACTTTATCAAGTTGTTCAATTACTTCTCACGTATGACCCTGCAATTGTACAGCGGGTTGCATCTTTGCTACTGCATATTCTTGAGGCTCGTATTTTTCGAAATTTTTAGAATGAAATTTTTTTTACCAAAAATTTGGTCAGAAGTATGATTGGGCGTAATAATCCTTTTCCATATGGTTCATTTTTTTTCTTTAATTTTATTTATTTTACCTGCTAATTACAGTTAAACTTCAATTTTAACTTATGATAGAAATATTACAGGATAATCCTTTTTTATCACGATTATATCTCTCGGGTGTCTTTTTCTTTATTCTCATGTATAATGGCTCGAATTTACTACCAATTGCACGATTTCTTCATTATACACATATGAAGCAGGCATTTCGCTCTGCTGTGGTGAGTTGTGCATTTTTCAAATTGTACAAGATTTTTGACTAAATTATTTGAAATTTGCAACACATTTAACACATTTAACATGTGATTTGTTTTAGGCAAAATCAGAATTTGTTTCACACAGTATTTTGAGTCCATTACTTCCGGAAGCTGCAATTTTGTATTTGGAGGAATATGGTGCCGAAAAGTTTGCCCAAACTTTTCTGGGTGAATTTGATAATCCAGAAGTTATATGGAACAACGAAATGAGGCATAAATCTTATTTTATTTGTTCTAAACTGGAATGAAGCGTGGAATAGTTTTTTTGACCTTTCATAAATTAATTCATTTTTATAACTTTAGGTTATGTCACTTGAAAACATGAAAATAATTTGATCACAAAGACTATAATTTTTTGCCTCTGAAAAATCAAATTTAGAATTAAATTTTTTGTTTTTCTAAATAATTCACATAAATTGGCATAATTTGGTCATGAAAGAAAAAACCATTCAATGTAAATTCCAGTCAAATATTTTTGACAAATTTTAGTAGTTAAATCATCAAATAGTGAAATATCATTTCAGGAGACATATGATTGAAAGAATTGCTGTGCATATCAGTGATTTTTCTATTCGTCTCCCGTCAAACATCAAAGCTTTATATCAGTATTGTCCTATCCCTGCTATTGATTATCCGCAACTTGACGGAGAATTATTTTGCCATGTATACTACCTGCGACTACTTTGCAACACTAAACGTTTTCCATCTTGGCCAATACGTGATCCAGTAAGTATATTATTTTGCAAAAATTATCCAGTCTTAAATCACTGCTTATTCTATCTTAATGAAACTAAAGTATAGACACAAAAGATCTTAAATTAAAAAAAAGAAAAAAGAAATTCTGTACTTTCAAAATTCAATAAAATATACTTGACAATAGATTTCTTTGCGCTGACTGTTGTTAGAAATTGTTCATATTCGCAATTATACCATTTAAAATTATTTGCTGAGATGATCAAAATTTTCTTCCTTTCTTATATATCTATATTTTGTATAATTTTTGAAAAAGAAAAACTTTTTGGATATAGTTAAATGTTTTTTCATTTTTTTTACATGAATCCAATTTCAGGTTACATTCTTACGTTGTTGTTTAGCCACATGGTTAGATGAAATTGATAAAAAGCCTCCTGCAATGTCGTTAGAGCAAGCATGTTCTGTTTTATTACTTCCCAGCAATGAATCTGCGTAAGTTTTACTCCATGAAAACATGCATACGTTATCAGATGCGTTATCTATTATCCACACATACCATTAACCTATATAAGAAGGAAGTTTGCTGATTAAATTTTCATATTTTTCAAAACTAAAGGTAGCTATAAAAACACGAATTTTCATTTTATTGTTTTTAGATGGAAAAATAAAGCTGAAGTTCGACGAGCTTATTTTAAACTAGCTCAAAAGTATCATCCAGATAAAAATCCTGATGGCCGAGAAATATTTGAGCAGATAACATCAGCATATGAATTACTTACATCGAACGTGCAACATTCTATCATGCCAGATTTACAGCGTATTATCCTATGTCTGCAAGCGCAATCGATCGTTTACAAGAACTATTCTGAAGGTTTGTTTATCTTATTCGATTTATTCGAGAATTTTGTAAATATCAAAAAATGATATCAACTGTTTGAATTAAGAATTTTTCTAAGAAAAAATATTCAGAGTTCTCTAGTGTTGAATAGCAAGTTTGATGTTTACATCCTATGAGCATAAATTATTTTAGCATATTAGTCTTCTTAACACACTTAATTCTACTTTAAATGCTGATCAATTAAAATATTGCACTGAACTGAAAGTTTATGTGTGAAATTGTTTGCATCGAAATTTCTGTCAAAATGATATAATCATTATAATAGTTGTTTTCTTTTATTCTTTTCAGAGCTTTCACCTTATAAATATGCGGGCTATGGACAGTTAATTAAAACAATTGATTTGGAATCGAAAGATGATGCGCTGTTCGCGGAAGGTGGTGGACGATTACTTGGTGCTGCTGTAGAGTTATGTCGTTACACTCTGATGAGTTCTGCTTTGAATGCTGAACAATTAAGACGTGATGCTGGTTTAGAGGTTAGTACTTCAATTATTTTGATCGTGTCATTCAGCAAACATTTTCGATTTTTTCTCCATATTTCTGTATTTTTGTTATTTTTGTCTTATTTATATGAAATATATGAAAGATTTCATTTCTTTTTTTTTTTTTTATTTGTTTGTAAATTGGTAACTATTATCTTCTTTATTGATAAGAAAAATTATTGATTTTATAAGTTTCTTAATTGGAAAATGCAGGATGCTTACTAAATTTATTTAAAAATTATTGTTTTCTTTTATTTCTATTCTTTCCAAGTTAGCTTTTTATCTTTACACACTTTATATTTGTTAAATTATGAAAAAAGGAAATAACTGTTTCAGGCGCTGTTGGCAGCATTTGAACGATGTGCTCCAATGGTCAGTTTGAGTTCAGAGGAGGATGATATGGCAGTACAAGTACAACTTCCATTAGTTTTCATCTTTTATTATCAACTCTAAATTTTCTTCTTTTAATAATCTAGCTGTAAATTTTTATTTGTTGATTGTGTAGTTTAATACTAGCCCATAAATTTTGCATAGTAGTTAACTTGGCTATCTAACTTCCTGAAAAAAATTATTCCGATTAATCTAGGAAGTGAAGCTGCAATATTGAGTTTGTTTTACAGTTGTCTATTTATTTTGACAAATATTATTTAAGATTTGTATCCATTCGCTTTACTGTTTTGGAACAGCTGCCCAATTTGATGCTTGCCGTGAAAAAATTTCGGAAATGCCAACTTTGTTCATTAGCATATGTAGACTATTACAATTTAATGTAAGTTTATTTTTGCTAATATCTGGAGTATCCTAACAGTTTTATCGTGGACAGAAATAATTTTGAAGGATTTGAAATTTAAATTCAAAATTTTTTAAAAACGTAGTTTTGCAATATTTGAAAGCATAAATATAAGTTTGCAGTTTTTACGAATTGTTTATATTTACAGCATGTTATTCGTCTTGCTTGCGCAGTTGCAGAATGTATTTGTTCACTTGCTGTTTGCACCATTCTTCAAATGCATCTCTTTCAATCGGGTGTTATCTGGCAGTTAATTCCACATCTTTTCCGATATGACTATACTCTTGATGAAGGAGGTCAAATTTTTCTGATTCATAGATTACCTGCAATCAATAATCCTATCATTAAGTTACCTTCAAACATGATGAAATTTTATAAGTCAAATTCAAGTTCGAATTTTAATTACAACTTTACCATTGCTATATTTATGATTAATTTTTTAAATTATTTGTAGGTGTGGAACATAGTGAAGAAACAAACAAACAATCATTGCTTAATAAGTTAGCAAGATCTGGATGTGAAGCACTGGCATGTTTAGCTGGTTTCCGACAAGGAACACCTGATAATGATGGCGTACAAAAAAGTCTTAGAGCTATGCTTACACCTTATATATGCCGACTTATGCAACAATCTGAAGATAATGATCGTGTAAGAATTTTGCATGAATTTTTTGAAACACATTGAAAATAATGAGTTATCGTTAATAAAGGCTAATCTTAAAAAAAAAAAAAAAAAACAAAGTTCTTTGCTCAATTTAGTGATAAAATTTTTAATTTTAATATCAGGTATTGAAAATTTTAAACAGTAATACGGAAGATCCATATCTTATTTGGAATAATAGTATACGAAATGAATTGTTGGAATTTGTTGAGTATCATCGTACTTCCGTATCCAATATGGTTTGTTCACTTTTAATTTTCGATTTAACTTAATAAAATATATTCTTTATTGTGCTCGTTACCATCTTATATTCTTAACTTTTGGTTTTTTTTTTTTTTTTTTTTTTTTGTGAAAAAGCTTTACTGAACTATTTTTTCTTGAACTTTTATTATCTCTTCCTTAAGAAAAATCTATTATAGAGTGAATTGTTTGGTGGTGAATTCAAACTTTCGGCACACGAAAAGGAATTAATTGTGGGCGATATATTTATACGAATTTTCAATGAACAACCAAATTTTAACATACAGGTTCATTCATTTCTTTGAATTATTCAAATATATCACTTTTATTTTTACTTTCGAAAATTACTGCTGTGAGCTTATGACAAAAAAAAAAAAAAAAAAACTAACGAAGTAATTTAATGTAATATTTTCTCTTCCGTTTGGAAAGATACTTCATATATAACATGCGATCACATTTTCTACTTTAAAATTATAATTTTAAGATGCTCAGATGATTTCTTTTGCTAACAACAGTGGAAATCTTATTTCTTGTAATTTTATTCTATCTTCTGATTTTTGATTCACAGAATATACTAACGAGATAACTGAATTTAATATCTTCTCTTCCGTTTAGAAAATGAAATAAAATAATTTCAGGAACCAAAGAAATTTTGCATGGATTTGTTAGATTTTGTGCAAGAAAAAGCTGATCAATTATTTGAAGATGAGAAAGAAAGAGATGGAAAAAAAGATGATACAATGATTGATTGGTGTATTGAGCCTGCTACTATAGCATCAGATGAGATTCTATTACAGACTGTAATGTCACTGCAGGCACTTGCGAATTTACTTGTTGCAAATGCAGGTGCAGTTTTTTTTTTCTTTTTAATATATTATATTTTTCAATGTGTATAATATATTATCATTTTTTATAACATAAAGTACTTATAATATATAGAATTTCATTTTAAAATTTTGTCATATTATGTATTGCATTAATTTCATTAAATTTATATTAATTAAAATGACTAATGAACTGAATTTTCTGTTGATAAATTTACATAGCCGATTTTGACATGATTGTTTCATCTCACTATCTTTTTTAGGTCTTGAAATTCTATTAATTGGTCACTACAAGTTATTATTTTCATTTTTTAAACTTCATGAATCTGTGGAATTACAAGGAATTGCTTTAAAAGTGAGTGCTTTTTTTATATTTCTTAATATAAAGTCTCGCATTTGCATTAATTGCAATATTTCACTTCGTGTTTTTTGATAATTCGCTTCTTGTATTACATTTATTCTTTTTTATTAGTAATTTATAGCTGAAAAAACTTCAGGTAGTATCGTTAACTTCCGTAAATCGTGAATGTGTGGCTGACATTGCTGATTCTTCACAGTTACCTCTGTTGTTTTCTTTAATTCTACAGGATCACAGCTGTAAGTTGATTTTTTGAAATAAACTATTATTTATCTATAATGATTAGTTGAGTTTTTACTGCGAAATGCTCTACAGGGAAACATACTGTCATATGTAGAACTATAAGGCTTAGTGTGTTTTCACTCAATCATATTCTGGTGATAGTGTAATATTTACTATGTATACTACTACATGAATATTGTGGACTAATGTTAAGTATTTTCGTTTAGTACATCTCATTTCTTTTTGTAATTACTAAATTCCATTAGTTACAGTTATTCCAATTGTCCTTTCAACGATGATCACATTGGCATCGAATACAAAAATTGTCAAAGAGTCGCTGGAATATGGTTTGTTTAAAATTTTATTTTAGACAAATGAAATTGAATAGTTGTCTGCTTAATATAACTTCATGTTCCTATCAGAAAATTGATTGTTTTTGTTGATTTAAAATGATTTTGAAGATTTTGATTCTTTCTCCTTTCATCATTCCTTTTGATAAATCAATCTATTTCACTGTGACTTATTTCGATTATGACTGAACATAGTGATTAGTGCACAAACAGATAATCTGCTAGTATTTGTCAGTAGGTGCTTGAATAATAGAATAAACACATTTCAATTTTTTTTTTCTTTTAATCTTTATCCTTGATTAAAGTATTTTCATATTGCATTTTATATAAATTTTTTTTTTTTTTTGCTGATTTCGATGTGGATAGCTGCAAAATATAATCTTTCATTACTCTTTTAGGCATGTATGCATAAAATGATGACAGAAAACATCAGTTGATAATGGTGATACTTAAAATTTTTACCAAGAAATCATAATTTAGATTTTGATTCTAAAATATTAATGCATTACTTTGTTTTAGGTGGCTTATTGCATATTTTAAGCGTATTTTTCAACGATCAATTTGATCCAACCACACGTATCTTAGCAGCAGAATTGTTAGCTAAAATGCAAGCAGATAAATTGACAGGACCACGATGGTCACGATTTATTGTGCGCTTCTTGCCACCTATCTTTACGGATGCTCTAAGAGATTCGCCGCAAACAGCGTAACTGATTTTTTTTTTCTCCTTTTTTTTTCTGTTTTTTTTTTTTTTAACTGATTCCTTATTTTTTATTATTTTTTTTACAAAAATTTTTTTGACTAGATTTGCCAGCTCTTTTTTCAGTTCATTTATGCTTTGAAAATTTTGAATGATAATGATCTAATTTGAGTTTTTTTTTTTTTTTTTTTTACAAACAGTTGCTATTTTTACAAGAAATTTTTGAGAATTTTAATATTATACTAAGTACAGATTATCGATGTTCGATTCAACACATGAAAATCCGGAATTGATTTGGAATGATGCGGTGCGTTCTAATGTCAAAAATATTGTTTCGCATAAATTGAATGAATTGAATTCATTGCAATTGCAGAATCCATGCACTAAATGGAAGACGGTTCATATTTGTTTTATTTACCCATTTTTTTTCTTTTGTTTCAAAATATGTTATTTCAAATGAAACTTAAATATCACTAAGCTATCCATTATGTTTTTAAGATTATCTAAGCGTTTTTAACTACGACATATTTGCGCCACTGTATTGCTTAATTGAGATACTTTTTTACTTCATTTGTATTGTACAGAGTTTTTTAACATATTTGTTCTTCTCTTTACTGTTTCAACTTTTCTAAGTCGAGATAACACCGTACGATAATCATTATTCTTAAGCGATAGAAGATGCAAGAAAATTAAATTAATTGCTCGAATTTCGAATAAGCTTTGAGAATTCTGAGAAATTTATTAAACTTCAGGATGTAGCAAATGAAAAATGCGCATATTCTGATATAATGGACGATGAATTAGTAGTTGCGGGAGTATTTTTACGACTTTTTATCGCAAATCCATCATGGCAAGTGCGTCATCCAAAACAGTTTGCTGCTGAGTTGATTGAAAAGGTTCTGGAATGTATGGAACGACCAACACCTGATTTAGATATCATTACATCTGCATTCGTTGCTTTACTTTCCAATCATCCAGCAGTTGCTAATCATGTATATATTTGAAATATTTTATTGCTCTATCAATTTTTTAGTCAAATTTCTCTCTCTTTGGTCTAACTTTTGAAAACCATGATAGAATAATTTGGAATGAATATACAAGCTCAACCTTATTTTATCGATGCTACTACGCCATGAAAATAAATAAGTCGTCTTAGCTTTTTCTAATTTTTCCTGATAAACATGAAACTCATTTTGCTTTTCAAACAAAAAAAAAAAAAAAAGAAAAGCAATTTTTTTAGATTTATAAACTCATCCTTAACTTGTTGATGCTACTATCTCACATTGATAAATAGAGTTCATTTTTTCCTAGATTTTGGCTTAAAGTTATTTTTGATATTTTTTAAAAATTTTGTTTAGATTATATGTTTTTTTAAATTTAAGTGATCCTATGATTTTTGTTGAGTCTAATTCTACAGCTAGCTATATAATGAACCTGAATATGATTTATCTCGCTGAAGAAAGATTATATTTCTAAAGATTATACTTTGAAAGTGAATGTTGATAGTAATATTTTTTAAGCTACCAGCACAAGGTTATTTACCACAATTTTGTGCGTTAATGTCATCATCAGTTGGTCATGCTTCCCATTCCGCGATTGTAATTCTTTCACATCTTGCCGAAAATACGGTTTGTTTTCGTCCCACAACTTTTTTTTTTTTGTTAATATCAAATTTTTTCTTGTTTATTCATTGATCAAAATTCATTTCGTTTCTTTTCAATTAATTCTATATTTTAGACTCAATTTGTTAGTTATCTAAATCTGTTCATTTATATATTTTTTAAAAATATTTTATTCAATCCATTTCTTTATACTGTTAATTAATAAGTAAGATGATAATTATGGAAGTTTTAGTACTGCGCTGATTCGCTTGCTAAATTGAATTGCATTGGCGGCATTATGAAATCGATGAAACAACAGCCAGGTTAATTTTAATTCGGAATTTTGTGAACTTTAGATGTCTGATATTTTAGTTTACTTGCCAATTTGATCTATTTTGAACTTTAAGCGAATTAATTGATTAAATGGAACATTTTGATTCTGCTTAAGAGTTTTGGAAAACACTATATTGTTATCAGTAAGAATGTTACTGATTTGCTGATTTACTAGATAACGGAATTCTTGACTGAATATGCCAGCCATAAATGATAACTTTAAATTAGCTATTTTAACTGTCATTTGTAAATTTACTGTAAATCTAATTTCGCTGAGTTTTACAGTGTTAATAAGAGATTCAGCGCATGCATTAAAATGTTTGTTGAAACGAAACTGCAGCGATCTTGCTGCACAAATGCTCTCTACTGGCATGATTGAGTATTTGTTGCAATTATTGGGTGATGATATGAAAGGTTTGTGATAATTATGAAGAATGAAATTAAACTTTTAAATTTTATTTCAGTAAATAGTTTGATCAATTATTACATATTTTTGCTTGTAAAAAATATTGTTTATGGTCATAATTTAAATTACTTTTTATTCATTTCATCAATTTACCGGAATTTCTATGAATGAAAATTTATATTTTACACTTCTCTTTCGTTTAAGGTGTCGATAGTGTTGCTGCAGCAAAAGCAGAAATAGTGGGTGCGTTAAAAAATGTTTCGTTAGATTTACAGTATGGAGCTAAAATTGCGGAAATTTTGGGTGAATCTTCTATCTGGGCACAGTACAAGGATCAACGACATGATCTTTTCATTCCAGCAAATAATGTGCATTCCATTACAGGTGAAAATTTCACGAAATTTCGTTATTTTTTCAGAAAAAAAATGATAAATATACCAAAGTGGTACCATTTGAACATCACTTTATGAATTTTCCTATTGAAATTTTGAAAATTTTAGCACCAAAAATTCAAATTTTACTTTTAGGCGCACCATCAGGCATTGCTGGCTATTTAACTGAGCGAATGTTTGCACCACCTTCTACAAATTTCACACCGCCTCCTGTTTCTTCTAAAAAACTAAATCACGAATAAATCGACGAATTTCGATTTGATTTGATTCTTTTACTGATTTCTGTATTAATCTTAAGTGTCCTTTTTGAAATTTGTTTTATTATACATTGCTGTGTGATATACAGAAGAAAATAGGTGAATTAAGAATTGATCAAATTTTATCTTTCTAGTGTTAATTTAGCCTTCAAATTTTTACAGTTCAAATTTAGAAACTTTTATCGGTGTAAGTTGATAAGAACCATCTATAAATTTGTTTGTATGTGGAAAAGTGCAAAGTTGCGGTTAATTTTTATGCTTCCATTAGAAGAATATATAAAAGCAAATTTTTATTGTTTATTAAAATGACGGTTCATCATTTTGTAAACTTTTTTCACTTCTATTTCCAAAATGTATCTGTATAATATTTAAGAAAAGCCAAATAGTCATCGGACTATAAATGCATGTATTTTCTATGTTGGACATATTATCATTGCTTAGTTGTCTTCAAGCTGTTTTCTGGCTTTCTTATCAATCATTAAGTTTCTCTTTTTTTATCAGCAGAAACTATTGCTGGCTTTTTTCATTTCCCTAATCTTTAAACTGTTACCATACACATGAAATTCTCTTTTATTGATGAGAAATTTACATGTTTTACAGATTTCAAAAAAGATTATGACTTCAAATCCTGTTTTCAAATTTCTCTCTCGTTTAATTTAACTTTTTTTTTTTCACTTTATTTATTTCCAATTTAAAATTTTCATTTCAAGCTTAAAATTTATTTTTCTTGTTCCGTGCCTTACTACTGTGTTATTTTACATTATGAAAAACTTTTGAAAATGAGCAAAAAAATTTTCGTCTCCAATAAGCTTTAAAATTTGATGACTTTTGATACAATTTTAAATTAAAATGATTAAAATATCTTTTTTCATTCATTTTTTAGCTATAATTTTTTTTTTCTTTCTTTGACTTTTTTTTGCAATCATATTTAATCAATTGTATATCATCATATCATATAATGTCTATTATTCTTGATAATGCAAATATTAATTTTTATTCATTTCTTATACAAATTGCCATATTTATTCCAAATATTTTTAGTCTTTTGATATTCTTTGACGCTTATCAATTATTGCATGTGTACACTGTGACATAAAAAGATGAATAGTTTTTTTTTTTTTTTGTTCAATAATATTCACATAATTTTCAAATTATTGCAGATCTTATCAAACAGTTAATTACTTGTAATTGAACCATAAAAAATTTACATAAATTCCAGAATTTTTTCCCTTGAAAATATTGCAAAACATTTCTTTTTTCGAATCATTTCATTTAAATTTGGCTATTAATTCAAATACGACTATGATTTGAATTTTGTTCTTCAAGCAATCAATGCTTTCAATTTGTTCTGAAAATTTCCATTGGAACATAATACCTTATTTACATTCTTCAATGATATCATTATCAGATGAGAAGTAAATTTTGATAAATTTGATTGGACTAGGATATTATGAAGAGGAATGTAACCATTTAATGATTATATGAAGTGCCAATGCTATATTGCAATACATTTTATTTACTAATCTAATGAAACAATTAGATGATAAGAAAGTGATAAGAGTTATCATGAGTGATAGTGGATGCCACATTGCTAATTAAAGATTAATTACAGTCATTTCAATGATTAGTACTATCGTTACTACTACGCTACTACTACAGAGTTTTGGTCATTTGACAATCAGTAATGCTCGTTTGTTTTCGGTTTGTTAATTTAATCAGTGTGACAGAAATAAATTTTACAATTGTTAACATTTTAAACTATTTCAAGTCTTTTTCTTTCCTTTTAAACATTTAGAACAGTGAAAAATTATTGATATAGAAATTTAGAAATAAGCATAAGAATTTGAAATTTCCAAAATTTATGTTTTATTATAATTACATTCAATAACGCTTATCGTAACATCTCTCAAATAATATTTTTTCCTCCTGAAATGATATAGAAATTTTTAGAGATAAATGAAATTTTAGTAAAATTATATCCTCTAATTATAGCTTCGAATTTTGTTCAAATTTGAATTTAAAAAAAAATCAAATACTGAAGAGTTGAACAATAATTTCTATCATTCATTTGTATAAATTTTAGGTTAAACGATGCTATCATGAATTAGAAAAAGGTCGTAAATTTTTGCAACAAATTAAACATGAATTACTAATTGACGAATATAAGCGTCAAAAGCAACATATTCGGGCCTTATTGTTAAAGCAAAATTCAATTTCAATATTTAATTTTACCACCGCGAAATATAATCCATCCATTTGTTCAGCGTTTGTTGCATACTTTTATTATTCATTAATTGAAATTAATTAAGAAATTAATTATATATTTTGCTTAGCAAAGATTTGAAATTATCTTGAATACTTCGCTGATAGAAATATAATTAATGCTTCAGTGGTATGAAAATGAGGTAAAATTAATTTATAATTGTTGATGTTAGTTCTAAATTATTAGTTTAAATTATTATTTTAATTGAAGTTAACCTAAAATTATTAATTTAAACTGCCATTGATTTAAGCCAGAAAGGAAAGGATGAATTTTATGCTAAAATTTGCTAACATTACCAGCTAAGACTGTCAAATTCAAATTAATATTAAAATTCTTTCTTAATAAGTTAACAATTAGCATATTTTCCTGAACTTCAACTAGTAATTGTCAGCCTTGCATATATTTATAACATATTAAAGTACTTGATAATAAGAAATGAGAATATAAGAACTTAAATATCGGGAAATACTTAACTATGAGGAGATATGCATGAATAAGTTTTATTAATATTATTGTTGATTTCAGTATATCCATTTCCATTTCACGTTTTAATGGAACTTAAATTTTAACACCACCAATGACTATTCCAGTTCTGATAGTAGCAGTAATAGCGGTGATACTGATAATAATAATGATAATAATTATTATAATAGTAATGATGGTGTACTTCCTTTGGTTAATTGGATCAATGAAATGCATGTAAGTTTGAAATTTTAATTGAGAATTTTGATCAATTTTATTCATTGAAATATTATTAAAAATTAAAAAATTGTATGTATTATATTTTGGAAGTACGAATCACAATTAAATAATATTATTAAGATTTTGGTAGTAAATTAGCAAATCATAAATTGCAGAAATGCAAAAAAAAAAAAAAAATTCTCTCTATCAAAGTTATTTTTTGCATCTATGAATAAGAAATTATTTATTGTGTGCTTACAAACAAATGATTGGATTCCATATTGAAAAAATATGATTTAAAAACAATAATCGATAATATTGATAAGTATATTGATAAGTTTTGTTGAGTTATTTTGAGATAAGGACCGTATTTTAAAGTTGAAGTTTTATCACATTTTCGAAATTTGATACCAGAAATTTATTGAATTAATAAGGAAAAATTATTAACTGTATCATTGTTTAATAAGGATAAATTATGCATGTGCAATAGTCTCATAGCTATTATTATTATTATTATTATTATTATTATTATTATTATTATTATTATTATTATTATTATTATTATTATTATTATTATTATTATTATTATTATTATTATTATTTTAGGCAAAAATTAACAATTTCTAATTTCAGAGCTATTTATCAAATTCAAGAGACACTTGTGAAGGACCAGAATTCCACAATATTACGACAGTAACTATGCCACAATTAAGATCATTTTTTTCACTATTCGTAATTAATCATGGCTCACCGTTATGTTCCATATGTGATCGTATGCTTGCAAAAGTTAAAAGCATTCTTTTTTCAACAAATTCTGCGGTATTCACTGTAAGTATCAAAGAAAAATTGCTAAGCATAATCGTCGATTAATCTTAGTATCATTTATTTTATAATATTATGACCATTACAGTAATATCCTAATGATAGCATATACAGTATCAAAGAAAAATTGCTAAGCATAATCGTCGATTAATCTTAGTATCATTTATTTTATAATATTATGACCATTACAGTAATATCCTAATGATAGCATATACAGTATCAAAGAAAAATTGCTAAGCATAATCGTCGATTAATCTTAGTATCATTTATTTTATAATATTATGACCATTACAGTAATATCCTAATGATAGCATATACAGTATCAGAGAAAAATTGCTAAGCATAATCGTCGATTAATCTTAGTATCATTTATTTTATAATATTATGACCATTACAGTAATATCCTAATGATAGCATATACAGTATCAGAGAAAAATTGCTAAGCATAATCGTCGATTAATCTTAGTATCATTTATTTTATAATATTATGACCATTACAGTAATATCCTAATGATAGCATATACAGTATCAAAGAAAAATTGCTATGCATAATCATAGTATAAGAAGGAACTGAATACGCTTTATATAATAGTACCATAATTAATTGAAAGTCATATATTACTTTAAAGTAATAAATATGCTTTTCAGTAATAACTTACATTTTAAAAAGAATTGTTTAACAATTTCATTATCATTCTTTCTCATAATCTACAGTAACATTTTACAACGAAAAAATATTTTAAAATATAAAATTAGAATTTCTTTACAGTACACCGAGCAAATACTTTATCAATTTTTTCTTACTCATATACCTGCTATTGAAACGATTTGTTCAGGATTGATACCAGATTGTTATCATTATTACAAAACAAATGGTATAACTTTATATAATTAGTAACTAATTGTAGTTAATAATCAATGCATTCATTAATTTGGATAATTAAACAAAATTAATTAAAATTCTTTTTTGAATTTTAACTATTTCTCAGTGACTGATAATATATGTGATAGGACGAAGACCAAAAATATTATCGAAAAAAGCGATGAAAGAATGAGAAAAGATAAATGGATGAGAGTTTTTAAGCTACAATGACACTTAATTAAAAGTTATTCGTACTGATTTGATAATATCAGTCGATTAATGAAATGAACTGAAAAATGTTTCACTAATATAACAAACTTCAAATTTGCTTATTTATTCATTTATTGTGAAATAAGC